CATTCCTACTTACGACCACTAGACCAATGAGATAGGCTTCTGAAGTTGTTGCATGGACTTAGTCTATTCATCTTTACGTGGTAGAGCCACGGTACAGCTATAGCATAGTTGTAGCACGAATGGGTTGGCTCGACCGGGGCAGGGCCACGCTCTCACAGAATACCACGTAATGCTGCTGTGTTTCGTATGGTGAGTGTAGAGAACCGGAGACCCTTTTTACTGGAATCGAGGTATTCCATCTTAGTCCTCAGGGGTGACAGCGCATCTACATTTTGATTCCTAATTGAGGATAAATGTAAATGTCTATGGGCCACAGCATCTACACCATCAGGTAGACTGTGTGCTTATTTATCGCCCAACGCTATAAAAATGAATCAAAATCCAAGACATATTAATGTATCAAAGACCTAACGCCAAATTGTGAACTTTTTCCTAGAACTACTAAACTATATTATTTTACCGCGCGTGGTAAATCAATTTGTAAATGGACGTTATGAGTATTATTATAATTCACGATATTGACACCTAAATTTTATATTACTACTTACCTTGGAGACTGAGCTTTGCTCAGCGTTGGAAAAAAATTAGCAGACATTACATCAACCCAGAAAAACTGGTAAAGTAAAACAGTATCTACTCGTAAGTACAACATTTCATCTAAATAGTTAGAGCCGTTTCTGAGAACCCGTTACATATAAATATACATATTATATCATCTTTTTTATTTCTATTTTGACCACTTACCACCACCATCACCACCACCACGAGTGGATACCACGAGTGGTTAAGGTATTATTTTTTTCATTGTATATAAACAAATCCAAATTCACGGTTAAAGAGGAATTACAGCACCATAAAATTGTTCGTAGCTCCACAAACAAAACAGTAAAAACGACGGTTCCAGAAATGATACCTAGCTAGATCGATTTTTCGCCTCCGTAAACCGTATTGCAGATTACATCGCAGACAGAGTCGTTTTCGAGAACGTGATTACAAGCAAATAATCTCGTATTGGATAGGATGTAATGTACTTGCTATAGTTGTTTGTTTGTAGATTTTGGCAATTTGTAAATTAATTATGCAAGGCCTATGAAAGGTTAATATTTTCCGAGGATCCGGTGCGAAAATCCGATTAGGAACGTTATCTGTTTGTTAATGAATCATGCCAATTGGGTTTTCAGCGAAACGTTATATAGCTTGATTGGATTGAGCTGTTGATGAGTAATGTTGTTAACTAGTTTCAATTTCAAGTCGTCCGATTAACTTGACTAACAAGTAGTCTAAATATATCAATATGTTGTACATTTATATGTAACTGTTTTATACATTTATATGTACTTGTATATTTTTCATTCTTTTTGCCTTTCCCATAGATTGTCCCTTGGGGTCCCCGCTTGGCAGACTGGATTTAAATTTTTAAGCTATTGCATAGCTTCTATCGCGGGTCTTGAGCGCGGGGACCGAATCCAGAAATTCCGTAACGAAAAAAAACCTCACGCTCCCCACTCTGACGGGCACGGAGGTGTGGCGTTGAAAGCCGTGCATCGTCTAACGTCGTTTCAGTTCGGCAGACTTCGGCACTCGGCAGACTTCGGCACGGTGTTTGTGTGCGTGCGACTAGACGTATGGTGTACACTAGCTGCTAACTCAATGATAAAAATTCCTGAATAACCTACATGTATTGTAAGATATTAAAAATATTTTAAACAATATTAACTTCTCATTTATTCAATAAGAGAAAAAAAAATTGTTTTCTTATCGGTCACCACGCTCAAAAAGTGTAACTTGATTTAATATCAAAGACTTAACTGCATAAATAAAATAAATAAATAATTATAATTGCATAAGTTGATAAAAATGCTATGCAATAGCTTTACCGCGGCAGTCACCGAGTGCCACACGTATTTTTTTCAATTGTGATCAGGAAGATAAAAGCTCAAAGAATATAAAACCCGAGAGAGAAAGTTTAGTGGCGGTATAAGAATATCCACTACCTCGTATCATCCCGTGGGTGTCGTAAGAGGCGACAGAGGGAAACAAATCAGGAGATGGGCAGCAACGTCTTCTAAGAATGACTTAAAATAAAAAAAAACTGCGTTTCCCAAATATCCCTCTATGAGGCAATCTATGATGGAGACATATGTTCAGCTGTGTACTTTAATAGGCTGTAAGGGTAACGGTATCAGGAAGATGCTGCTACCAATATCCTCTTTCATTTCTCGGGATGATATGGGATAGTGGATTCTCTAACGCCCCCTAATGATTATTAGTTTTGAGGAAGATAATATATTTGTTATTTTTCCATCTCGTAAAAATCGCCAGGTAAAGATGGATCTTTGTAGTTGAGGAGAGTATATGCAATAATCGCCATGCTTGGCGTATCGGTGATCGTAATATCTAACATCTCTCATTTGTGAAACGTAGAGCACGTTTTTTATTTGTTTATAGGATAGGGTGACAAACCAGCACACAGTCCACTTGATAGTAAGTGGTTGCTGTGGCCCATAGACATCTACATCTATACTCGATTACGAATCAAAATGTAGATGCGTTGTCATCCGTGAGGACTAAGGTGGAATGCCTCGATCCCAGTAAAAAGGTTCTCCGGTTCTCTACACTCGCCATACGAAACACACCAGCATCAAGCTACTATTTTACGCTGGTATTCTGTGAGAGCGTGGTCCTTCCCCAGTCGAGCCGTCCCTTTCGTGCTGCAACTATACTAATAATATAACTGCACTTACAGCATCGCTCTACCACGTATAAACGTCAGAGTGACATGTATGTGTTATTACCCTTAGTCCGTTACAGATCTGGGGTATGTTCCGAAATACAACGCAGTGTACTGTCCAATGCAAATGACGTCATAATTTGACACTTTATTGTACTAGATTGCCGCCGCCATATTGTGTCAGATATGCGGCCATTATAAAACAATTTTTAATTGTGTGTTTGCCGAATGAAGCATGCCAGAATTTGTTTCTATTTATTCAAATACAAAAAATTATAGAATAATTGATGGTATATCCATTAGGAGGATATAATGATTTTTGGAGCACAAAATGACAAAATAATCGCCAACATTTTTCCAAATGGCGCAAAAGTATGACGTCATATACTGTCCAATGTTTTGGAACGAATCATCAGTATAGCGTCGATTCATGACGTCATTTGCATTGGACAGTACACTGCGTTGTATTTCGGAACATACCCCTGGTACGTATACCGTGTGCCGTGCGGGAAGTAGTTGCACTGTCATTATTGGAAGCCGTGAGATCTTCGGTAGCTTCTCACGGTGCTCAAGAGACGATATAGCGTGAAATATGGTATGCTATGCTGTTTATAAGATCGTGTAGTGGCGGTGTAAGAATATCCACTACTCCATATCGTCCCGTGGGTGTCGTAAGAGACGACAGCGGGAATACAAAACAGAAGTTGGGCAGCATCATCTTTCTGATGACTAATCAAAATAATAAAAAAATGCGGTTGCCTACCCGCTTGACAAGCGTGCCAACTATGGCAACTTTTATATGTAGACTGTAATGGATAGATGCATGGTATTTATATACTTGCAACGTCCAATTTTTTTTATATTACTGTTACAATGTTATAAATACAATCAAACTAAGATTATAAGAAATCCGAGTAAATAAATGAATATTCTCAACAATATTAAAACATTTGCCACGTAGCATTAAGCTTAGTCAGTGGTCTTTTTGTTGCTGTAATCCATATTTTTTTTAGATTTTGTGATTAAGTTTTTTTAAAGTCATAAAGAAAATATAAAAATTCTAATAAAGTATGTTGTCTTATAAAAAAATATAGAAGTACATAGTTTCATTTATAACAATAAAGATATTTCTTACATAAAAGAAGAACAATAATTTTACAAAATATGTCAAATGTTTCGCTACGCTGTCAATCATAAAGAACGGCTATTTTAATGTTTTATAATAAATTTTGTTTTAGATCTTTGAGTGTTTTCCAAATTTAGTTTTCGTTTTTTGATTACCATTTCAATTTAATTTGCTACGAGAGATTTCCCGTAAAAAGAATCGTTTTTAAAAGAAAATCAATGAAATAAAATTAATTTCCTTAGCCGATAAGATCGAATGTAACACGGATCGTTGAATCTTACCACTTAAAGCCGATTGACTTAGTGAATCTTCCTAATAATTAAGATTGACAGCACACAACGAACACACACACACACACACACACACATACATACACATACATATATATATATATACATATAATATATATATATATATATATATATATATATATATATATTATATGTATATATATAATTCGTATATGTCTACATATGTGACGGCATGACCTACCTTACCTTCCTACATATGTATATGTTTGCTATTATTATCAGGTGTAGACTTCATCAAATTAACTGGCGTTCATTATCAAACATCATCAGATTATTTTTTATGTTCAAATAAAAGCAGTCTACTTTTTATCTTCACAAAAGACGAGCTTTATGCCATGTAAGCATTACAAAAAGGGATTATTTGTGATGGATATGTCTTGGGTGTTGGATGTTAGATGTTGAGATAAGTGGTATCATTGCTGGTGACATTTCCTTTGTCCATTGCTGCTATGGACTTAAATTATATTTTGACTTTGTTTTTTTTTTGCATTTTAGCGTGCTATTTTGATGCCACGATAGTGAAGTGGCTAAGCGTTGAGCCCGGAAAATGCGGGGCCGCAAGTTCAAATACTACACGGAGCGGGTTGCGGTGTTACAAGGTTCGAATCCATCACGAAGTAGGTAGGTGGCCTACAAATTATTGTGCCGAGTTTTGTCTACGTGCAATTTATGTATGTGTAAACATAGACATGTTTAACACATTCACTATTTAGGGCCAAAATTCTTCCAGCCATAAAAATATAAACATAGTTACCGTTAAGTTGTACTGATTGTAACTCAAATGGCGTCACCATACGTCATGAAATAAATCAGTATTATAGATTATATTTACCTCATTTTCATGACTATAGAAGTGTTGATGATCTGTCACAAGCCATTCTTCTCCAGCTCGTTCGGTGCTATTGTCGAATCCAGACTCGTAGATGTCCAGGAAATCGTAGCTGCAACTGTAAAACATATATGAGTGTTAATTATAACAATATCTCAATTTCCTGTTGAAGAAATGGGATGAAAGGGGGGAGGGAGGGGGGGAGCGTGAGTATGTTTATTTAGTCTATGTTTAGTGTCTTAAAGTCTTTTACCTCAGTACTGTAATACAAAAACTTCTAATTCGAGCTTAGTGATAGTTATAATAATAATATATAATAAATTTCAATGTGAATGAATGTTGTATCATGAGTTATGGTCCTGCAAAAGCCCCTCAGAAGTATGTTTATGAAAAGAACGGCCTCGTAATCCCGCGCGTTACATGTATTAGAGACTTAGGCGTTGAGATGGTCCCGGAACTTAATTTTCGTAAGCACATTAAAATATTTGTAAAAAACCTTTAAGGAATCTCGACTTTATATTAAGGCAGTGCAGAGATTTTCAGAATTTATTTACTATTAGAATTTTATATAATGCTCTCGTAAGAAGTCAACTCGAAACGAACGCAAGTATTTGGAATCCACATGAAAGCAATTATAGTGTCATGGTCGAAAAAATTCAAAATAAATTCACACGATTATATTTTAAGCAGTACGGAATCTATCCTTGTTTTCCACTGATGTATCCGAGTCTGTTTGTACTGGGGACGGTTGGTTACAGCCGCCTAAGTGTGAGAAGAGACATCACGCTTATTAAATATGTGTGGAAAGTATTACGTGGATGGATATATCACCCAGATGTGCTCACTGCGTTAAAGCTGCGGGTGCCTAATAATTACGTGTGTTTTCGTCGTCGTCCCCCATTACTCCTCGTGCCCGCTGCTAGGACGAAGTTGCTTCAGAATGCACCATTGTCACGTGCTATACACTGTGTTAATATCATCTCACAGGATATTGACATATTTGCATGTAGTGAGGCGAAATTCATAATTGCAGCATTCAAATGCGTTGAAAATTGTAATATTTTTAATTAGTATTTTATTATACCATCATTTTGATAGATTTCATACTAGATATCATTATAAAATAGTCAGCAGTTTTCTTATATTTAGGTTAGTTATAGTACCGCATTGATGTAATAACTGTAATGATGTTATAACTGTGTAATAAATAAATAAATAATCAGTAATTCAATTCTATAACACTCGGCCGCCTTGAGGGACGTACTGATCGGGCATAATCGGCTATACGTCGGCTGGGACGTGGTAGAGCCGTGCGACTAATTGGATGTTACATGCTGCCAGAGGTGTCAACAATATGGACAAATATTGCCGTTCGAGGGAGGTCGTATGCGGAAAGTATGGGGAGGCGAGACACGAATATGGGATCTGCAAATAAACGCACGAGAAGTGTGCCACATGCAAGCGATTTGGCCGACCCAACTCAGGCTCGCACGTAACCATGTCAAAGAACTGTCCAACAAAATTATACGCAGAACAACGATCTGTGGCCACCATTCAATATTATCGATAAGTGCAGCCCTATAGAAATAAAAGAAGATCAGAATGCACTAAAAATAGGGCAGATAAACTAGAGTCAAAGGGAGCTCACCGCAGCTGAGTTGCCTATCCTGGTGCGTGAGCTGCACTTACATATTGTTCTTGTACAAGAATAGTACTTCCAGGCCGCGGAGATCGTTCAGGTAAGTGGTCATCCGTGGGCGGGCATCTATCTAGCTTAATCAATTGGGGTAGCTGTACTGAGCTACCTTAGCAACGAATTGTGTGTGGTGTGCCATTTAAACCAATGGAACGTCCGTGTGGCATCAGCGTACTTTAAATTTAGCGACTCCATCGATGACCACCTGCACAACTTACAAGTCGCTATAAGTTGTCTACAGGGCAGAAGGGTCATCTTCGGCCTCGACGCCAATGCGCACTCGCCACTCTGGCATTGTGATCGCCAGCACTACGTGGACTGCAGACTGCAGTACATCAAAGGCAACAAATGGAAGCATTTATATTGTCTCAGGCACAAATGCTGGTAAGCCAGTGTGACTAGTTCTACACCTACTCTGGGCCTGGAGGAGAGTCCAATGTGAACCTTACCTTATCAATAGGGGACGTCTATGTTGCTGAGTGGCAAGTGCACGAGCGATCACAACTTGATCACATGCATGGCTACACCATTTAGAGAACCCCCCGTTTTCGTGATCAAGGGGTGGATTGAGACAGGTTCCGGGCAATTATCAAATTATGAATGGGATCGCTGCATGTGGAAAAACCCGCGGCCTTCCTGGCGGAGTAGTTCTTAGGCGTTATCATCCACTCCGAGGAGGATGGCCTAAGCGAGCGTCACCCTAGAGGGTCGAGGGGGTATGAATAGTGGTTTTCTGAACTGGACAAAACTCTAAAGTTGCAATGCAAACTTAGGCGTATATAGCAGAGTAAAAAGCGTCTGGGTGGCAGGTCAGAGGAGATAGCTAGGATGGCTTTTCATAGCGTACGTTCCAGATACAAGATGATAACGGTGGAAGCGTGGCAATCGCAACACTTCATGTGTTGGCCGCCGACTCTGAAAACGAGGACCAATGGGCCTAAGCATACAAGGTAGCCAGCAGGAGGGCACGACTACCTGCAAATGTAATCAATGGGATCGCCTTTGCGAGTGAGTATCTGGACAGTTTGGACACGCATAATGTTATGTCTACGTTCGGTCCGGATAACAGATCTGACTGCACAGGATTTAAGGTTCATCATAAGCTAAGGAATCTAAGTTAACCTTCTTAAGAATAACTACAGGTAAGTTTAATACAATGTTATTATATAAAATATAAAAATTAAGACACACATTAAGAAATGTTTAAGCAGGGCGTCAAATATATCGGACCACCCTGTGACCACGAGTGCTGTAAAGTATCCGAAGGGTCAGGAATCAACCATAATAAGTTAAAATTAAATGCGATAAAATGCGTAAAATTAGTAATATTCTTTCTTGTAGCAGAAAAGGGTCTTAAAAAATAATGTTCCTACTATATTATCTTGTATTGTAAAAGAAAAACACGTGTATCGAATGTCGGAACCACTTCAATTAGGGACATAGGATACGGCGGCCATTAGACGGAAGAGAACAGATGGCTTGAAATCATCCCAACTATATTTCACTGATGCTATCTATTCACTTACACATTTTCTTCGTATCTCGTATTTACTTAAAGTATATGGGCCTCTACTATTAAAGAGCAGTTTTACCATTATCGCCACTTTTGCTGGAGGGACGGTGGGTGCGAAACCTTTTTCACCTTTGTTCTTTTCACTGTCACAGCATCGGTACGGTATATTATATCCGGTTTATACATGTTGACCGTGTAGTTGTGGTTTTAGAATATCTACTACTCTACATCGTGCTGTGGGTGCCGTAAGGAGCGACAGAGGGAAGTAAATCAGGAGATGGGCAGCATCGTCTTTCTAATAACAACAAAAAAAGAAATTGTGGTTATCAAGTCGCCCGACAAGCGTGGTTACTATGGCAAATATACCCCCATGAGGCAATCTATGGAATGTTGGCTGTAATGGTAACGGATTTTTCTAAATATAATAAGGGTGACAAACAAGCACGTGATGGTGACACAATAGCAGCTTATTACTGCTGTGTTTCGTATGGTGAGTAAAGAGATCCGAAGAGTCTTTTATACTAGAAACGAGGCATTCCATGTTAGTTCTCGGGGGTGAAAAGGCATCTACATTTTGATTCTTAATCGAGGATAGATGTATACCTCTATGGCTATAGCATCCACTTGCCATCAGGTGAACTGTGTGCTCGCTTGTCACACGTAGATATTGTTAAGCGACAGTAGCCTAATGGAAAGGCGCGGACCGCGAACTCTGGGTTCGAATCCGTCATTAGGCTACTGGCGTGAACCACTCGTAACCCAAGCAATTTAAGCTTACCACGAGTGGTAAAGGGGAGTATTAGTAACGTTTATAGCATTGTTAATATTCTTTAAAAAAAGAAAAGAAAACTAAAAGGTTTTGTTAAAAGTCATGTTTTTACGCTTTAGAGTAGACTAAAGAATATCACAATGTAAATGTCGCCTGAACAGTTACATCAAAAACTTCATTCCCTATTTTCAACCCTTAGGGATGGAATTGTATTTACAAATTCAATGTGTCTACCTCTGGAGTAGAACCTATTGTTTAAAAAGGAATTCAAAATAATATGTAAATGCATAAAAATACATACAGTCGAACATAGAACCTCCTTCTTTTTTGAAATCGGCTAATAGAGGGCATAATTACAGTAACATTTCACCGTCGTCATAGAATCACATAACGAAGCTCGTTTTATAGCTAGTTAATTCACTTAAAGCGACATTGCCACTGAGAAAGTTTCTTAGTTTCAAACTGTCGCAATAAATAAGTCCAATACGTCGCCACCATCGGATGTTGTTTACTACATCGGATACGATATCTATGGATCTGTTGCAGTTCCGACAGTCTGAGAGTAAGTGGGTTGGAATTTATTACCCTTAGTCCCGGAAAAGATGCTATGGGCATTCGCTGTTAATACTTGCTGTTATTGTTATTGTTAGTGTACTTTAAAAGTTATGTAAAGTAATCGTAGATGTGGACTGAGTGTACGTGTGGTCTCAGTGAAAGAGAATCCAAATGTTGAATAACAAATGTCCTTACGACGAACGGTCACGGCGGCCATCTTCAACGGAAACTAGCCATCTATGCAGCAAAGGATTATAGTGCCTATGTGTATATGCAAGCACAGGTACACCTATCACTCTCATAGTCCAATAGGAGGGATAACCAGCACGGGCGGGGAGAGATCAGGCGCAGAACTATCGGCTTTACGTGCTTTTTTTTTATAGAAGAGGGGGCAAACGAGCATGCGGCTTATCAACTGCAACACCAGGCGAATTGCAGGTGTGTTGCCGTCCCTTTAGGCACGGGAGTTAAACACCGCAAACTTCTTGACTTCGGGCTACTATTGAGAATTTCTTGACAGAAAAACTCAATCACTGATTTGCCCGACCGGGATTCGAACTCGGGACCTCATGGCCAGCAGCCGCC